GGGGTCAAACATACAGTAGGTAGAGATCCACAGTAGAAAAAGTCACAGCGTCACTCACGCTCTACCAACAGTCGCACATCACCGATTGTTCCCCGTCATGGCCGACTGTAACAGTCGCGGTGTAACTGACAAGACTGTGAGTCTCCATCACCTCAAACAGAAAATGCTGGAACAATCCGCACAACAGCGTGGTACTGGCCCGGAGGGAGAGTCCAAACGTACTGTAAATAGATATGTACAAGTGTATGGAGAAATGTAGCAGTACTTTCCATTTTCATACCTGTAATCAGTACATACGATGTAGCATATACTGTATAAACATAACTTTGTTCTTTTTCTAAACAGAGACTGATTCAGTTCTTTATCTGCTGCGGACGCTCCATCCTTCACCTAGACTTCAGATAATAGAACAGGTTTATCCACGGAGAGAGAGAGAGAGAGCGAGAGAGGGAGGGAGGCACAGGCCAACAGTTTGTTTTTATTATTATTGTTATTATTATTATTATTATTATTTAAATGTATGCAAATCTCCCTTTAAGATGTGTTACCGTTTCCTTTACGTCTCTTTTTCTACGTTGACTTTTCTTTGTGTACAGATTTTACAGACAGACTTTGCTGCTATCTCCGACCGCTGGTGTCGTCCTTTCTACTCCATGGTTTTACCATGGGACTCTTCAGTCATACACTGGTTACTGTCGCTTATGGTTTTTTTTGTTTGTTTTTTTTCTTGAAGCCACATGAATTGAAGTTTGAATCCTGTAGAGGGAGCCCTGCTGTTGTCGTACTACGGCACTTGAATGTCTGGCGGCGGCGGCGGTTGTTGTTGTTGTTGTTGTTGTTTTGATAGTTAGCACCAAACTGTACCCTCTGTGAACAGAAGACCTAACGTCCCGTCCTGGGACCGTCCCTGCTTGGCCTTTGTGTTTTAGTCCCAGCTGCCTCTGTCTGACGGTGGGGTCGGGGGGTCGGGTGGGTCGAGGTTTTTGGGTGGCGTTTGCAGAGGTCCCTGCTGACGGTAATGGGCAAGTGCAATGCATGCAGAGATTACTAAGAAGAAGTTTTAGCCCCGTTTTTTTCTACCTTTGTTTCCGAGGCGGCGACTCCGCGTCCGTGCGTTGGTTTCCACGATAGTTTACAGAAGCTGTTGGTTTTGTGTGTGGACTAAACCGTGGCCATTATACCAGTGCCATACTATATTGATATGGTCAGATACGGTGTACCTTGGACTCACTGTAGTGCTATATTTGCATTGATATTGTCATTATAAATAAATTTTATATAATGAACTTTACACAACACACCGTCTGCCTGTGTCGCTGCTGTGTCGCCGCCTCACATCCTGCTGTGCTGCAGTGGTGGACATGATGTTCCAGTGCACTGCAGCAGCAGCAGCAGCAGGAGCTGCAACCTCCTCCTTCACCGTGTGAGGGCGCTGTTGGCGCTGCACAGTATCTGTTGCAACCGGTAGATGTGGAGATGGATGGTGTTAAAGACAAACAAATACACATACATACAGTACAAATATACATATATTGCATTGATGAATACGTTTATTAAACAATAATAAATATGATTGTAAATATATAAATATATGTTCAATATAGAGAAAATATAAACACATAAACCTGACCTACTTTCTATTAAAATCCAATATGTTGGTGGAAGAAATAGTTTTTCCTTAAATCTAGTGACACAGTCTGTTCACTCTG